TATATATATATTTCTATGGAAGCCGTTTCTGCCACTGAATAAATTTTTTTTTTAATAAATCAATAAAAAATAGGATAAAATAATAAAAAATAAACAAAACAAACAAGTAATACATCTAACAGAGGATAGGGGAAAAAATCATAATGTAACTTTAGTATAAATTCGGTCTTTATACAGACGATATAGATGCCTTTTACAAAAAAAACTGAAAAACATAAAATAATAAGTTTAATTTTTTTTTTTTTTTTTAACATTATAATGCATTTAGCATTATTTTTTGTGATTTAATGTGTCTTAGCTGAATAAACGCATCAATTTGTTGAGAAAAGAGGCAACAGAACTGATATGATTTCCATCTCACCTGCTCAGCTGCTCAGTGTTACTGGATCTGGCAGCATCCAGAAGAGCTTCTGCTGCAGACACACAGAGATAAGTGCCTTAATGACACTAAACTCAGCATCTGCGAGCGGGAATGTGGATCTTATTATTATATCGCTGAATAGAGAGTGTGTGTGCAGTGTTTGGACCTTTATCATCGCTGTCCTTCTTAAAGCAGAGGGCGAGGGCCGCGGCTGAAATGACGCCCGCGACGCCCGCAGCAGCAGCGGCCTCTGCGCGGCTCTCGTGTCCGGCCCTGTGGCGCCCCGCGGCGGTCAGACTCGCCCAGCTGCTCCGGCGGCCCTCCAGGCTCACGCGCCACCTGCTGGCCAAATGATGGTACTGCACGCGCGACTCCTCGCTCGCGACGCTCTTCCTGGACGCTCGCGGGCCGCTGGCCACCGGACTCCGGTTCGGTTCGAGCTCACAGAGGTTTCGGAAGCGGGAGGCCTCGCCGTGGCCGGTCTGCAGCGCGCGGCACGGCGACAGACTGCGCGACCTTCGCATCATGACGCGCGCCGGTACCGACGACAGGAACATCGCGAGCGTGCGAGCTGACGCGGCAGTAACAACGGGTTCCGTGAACAGATGAGACGGTGTGTTTAGTTTTAGTGCTGCTGTGATCTCGCCGACAGCCGGTTTCTGGTTTTAAGGTCAGCAGGTGAATCAGAGCTCGAGAGCGGAAGCGTGTGTCCGGTAAATGAAAAACATCCGCCGAGCGCGGGGGATCATGGGAAGTGTAGTTTAATAACGTCACGTCACTACCGCAGCGCATACACTCAGAAAGGTGTTTTGTTTTATTTTATTTACATTTTTTATTTTGTTTTATTTTATTTTATTATATTATTTATTTGATTTTATTGTTTTTTTCTGATGATTTAAATGTTGTAATAATAATACAATTTTTGGACATGCGTATATACATATATTTTAAAATAGATTTTTCAATTATATTTGATTGATAATAGATACTTTTTTTTCTGCTTCAGCTCAAGGTTTCATTTTAGTATATTGTATTTAAACCTTTAAATAACCCATGAAAACATAGATCATTTAAATTTTTTTAATTAGAATTATAAAAGGGTTTAATTATAATTATTAAAAAAAATATTTTCAGCTTTTAGCTTTTCTTGCAAAATGAGCTAGAATTTTTTATATTTTCTTTCCAAAAAAATTAATCAAGCTGATTGACGATAGACTGATTTTTCTGCTTGAGCTCAAGGTTTGATATTTTAATATTATATGAATAATATATCACTATTAGTAGGCCTGTATTTGATTATAGATCATGATGCATGACCCTTACATTAGATTCATCATATCTGGGGGTTTGCAAATATCGAAAAGCCCTGATTTAACGCATGAAAACATGGGGTAATTAAAATAATTTTGAATTAGATTTTTTTGGTAACATTATAGGTTTTCAGTGCCATTTAAAAAAATGTAAAAAATTGTTTATTTTATCTAAAACTTAAAAAAACATGCATAAGTATAATGCAAAAAAAACCAAAACAAAAACACTGTTTTTGTAAATTAATCACAGTTTTAATTTTCCTTTCCAACTGGATCAAGATGAGAGGCGAAAGATCCAATTTTCTGCTTCAGCTCAGAGTTTGATTATAATATTTTATTATTGTATTATTATTGAATCACCATTATCAAGCCCATTTATTATTATATATTATGAGCATGTGACGCGTGTGACCTGCAGGTGGCGCCTAAACTCACAAAATACATGAGCAACACTTTCTCAGCAGCCAACAGATCAACAAAAGCAGAATATTCATGCAAATATGAATATCAGACTTGAATGCTGTCAGAATCTCTTAATAAAATGAGATCATTGACATTAAATGCTTACCTTTTTTTTTTTTTTACATGAGTCCAAAGTACTCGAACCGCACACATATATTTTATTTTCTGATATTCAGACATCAGTTGAGTTTATGAGATTGAGATATGAGAATAGCACACGCTGCATGCAGAGTAAATGTGTGTTTGGCATCAGATGAGGTGTTTTCGTGATCTCACTGATGTTTCTGTCAGGTGACTGTGGTTTGATGAAAGAAATAAAACCCAACATCTCCACGCCTCAGACTTCCTGTGGTGTGTGTCTCACGTCTTCTGCTTCCTATTATTAAAACATAAATTAGCACAGTGGCATTGAAATACTTTAAAGCATGATTTTTGCTCAGTGTGTTTCAATTTAGTGGATGTTTGAGGTCAGTTCTCTTCAGCACGCTCTAAAACAGTGTGTGATGCTGTTGGCACTGAATTTCTCCTCTTACTATACTCTCAATTAAAATGATATTTAAAAAAAAAAAAGTTATTTACATGAAATTAAAATGACAATTTATTAAAATATTTATTATTTATTTAAATTATAGATTTTTTTAAATAACATTTACTATTAAATATATTGAATTAATTAATTAATAAATATTTATTTATTTAAATTATTGATGTATTATTGATGTATTAAATGTAATATTAAACACATTTAATTAATGTTTATATTATTATTATGAATAATAATATAAATAAATAGATTCATTTATAAATATTAAAATTATTGATTTCTTACATATGTATTAAAAGTACTATTAAACACATTTAATTAATGTTTTTTATTTAATAATAATATATTATTATTACTATCATGTATTATATGCATTTAATAAAATTAACATTTTATAAATAAATATAAATTTTTTATTTATGTATTACATTTTCTATTAAACGCATTTAATGTTTTTATTTAATAAAATTATATTATTAATAGTAGTATTATGTCTCAATCTGTTGATCATTAATCCTGTGAAATAATGGTCAGAAAAATCTAATTTTTTCAGTTGTCTATCAGTCGTCACTGTGTATCTGTATAATAATAATATGTCTTAATAAGATGATCATTGGAAAATGATTTATTAGCAAGTGCAGATTCTCCACAGCATTGACATGTTCATGCATTATTTTTGCCTCAGTAAAGTTAAGTAACAGCAATTTTATAAACTTTATGAAGACTTACGGAAGCCTCATGAATTAATTATTTTTCTTGTACATGATGTTCTTTTGTATTAGGAGTAATCTTAGTAAAAGAATGAAAAAAATCGATAAATGCGATGGTTCTGATGGGAAGCTAAGAACACGTCAGCGCTGTGTCAGTCATTATTACCGGGAGGTAACGGCAGCTCGCGCGTTTCACCGGGAGACGCGTTTGCATCTGGAGCGGCGCGCGACACACGCCTGCATACGAAGTTCAGTTATCACACCCCATACATAAAGTGCTTAAATCACACCTCATACATACGCGCGTATGTTTGAGCATCAGACGCGCAGGACGTGAATCAGGGATTGAGAGAGAGAGAGAAACCGCCCGTGCGTTTAACGCGCGTCTCCGTCGCGTCAATCATCACGCGACGCGCGTCGGATCACCGGCGGCTGGGAACTCCAAGCGCAAACTCTCCCGTTAGTTTCAACCGGGAGCCGCGGGTTCAGCAGCAGCAGCAGGAGGAAGATGATGTCCGCGGAAGAGGTTCTGGTCCCGGATGACCGAGCCTTCAGCCGGTTCAGAGGCGAGTGTCAGTCCGAGCAGGGCTGGAGTCTCACCTACAGCAGAACCAGCATCTGCGTGTGGATCCAGGTGCTGCAGGAGGAGAAGAGCCTGCACAGGATCAAGGTGAGCCGCGGGTCTGATGTGGCTCCTGCTGCTCTGACAGCTTCATCTCATGCTTTTTAGATGATCAGTCATAGAGTAACCCTGTCCAATGTTTCGAAAAGATACTTAATATAAAAGAAAATGTATCATATTGGCTCATATAGTCTGATATAATGAGAATATGAATTTGCTGCAGATGCTGATATTTATATGATGAAATTCTGCTGCTTGTAGTGTAAATAAGTGAGATCTTTATAACAGTAGAGCAGATAAAATGGTCTAAATATCAGTCGTCGCTCGTAGGGTTAAAGATTAAAAATAAAATATTAAAAAGCAAGGCAACAAGTTTAAATTTGGTAAATAATATTATATTAAAATAGAATAAAATTGTTAAAATAATATAAAATAAATATAAAATAATAAAATCATGTCAAAAAACATTGAAAATACTAAAACTTTAAAATTAAAATTAAAACAATATATATAAAAACTAATTCAAAATATTAAACCTATAATAGTATCCCAAATATCAGTCGTGGCTCTATATCTCCAGTAATAATAAGATGAGATTGAAATGCTCCAAACATATAATGCAGTGATTGAGAGCTGAAGAAATAAAGGCTCCTCAGAAGATGTGAGATGTTCTGGAGGCTTGTGAAGATCATTCCTCCGCTGAGGAACAGTGAAAGTAAAGCTTCTGGAAACAAACGCTCCTCAAAAGATCCTGAGGATCAGATTTGAGACTCTAAAACATGATTGATGGAGAATCAAGTAAAGCCGAGCTGCTTCAGTCCAGTAAGTGTTCATCTGGAGATATTACTGCTGTTATTCTGACCTTTACTTGATCAAAATCAGTCGAGATTTGACACGAGAAGCTCCAGCTGAAGCTGGACGTTTCTACAATTACACTAAAAGAGCTTTGGATAAATTGTGTGCAACAGGTTTAACAGCAGAGTTTGATCATGATAGGGTTAAACTCGTCACTGAAGCACTAGTTAGTCACGAGCGTGTGTGTGTCAGCGGTGTGTGTTTAACGGGTCACATCCGGGTGTGTGACGTGCGAGCAGGTTTATCCAGCGGGTGTTGATGCACAGGTACAGGAGTGTTTGAACTGTAACGGAGAGCCAGCAGAATGTGCACGCGTGTGTTTGTCTTCTCAGACTCACGCCGCTCACCTGAGAGCTCACCTGTGCTTCACACACACAC